ACATGCCCATTTCACTAAAAAAATTGAAAAATACAATATTTACATTATGTGTTTTGAATATAGTATCTGCGCTTTTGCCACCAAAGGGTCAAACGTGATTGACTGAAACTTATATATTTGATAGGCTTTTTTTTTTCTTTAAAAAACAAACAAATCAAAACAATGCACAAGAAGTCAAATAAACTCTAAACTGAATTAAATAAAATGAAAAAGAAAAGAAGCCAGTAACGAATAAGATTCCTTATTATTTGAAGCTGCAAGTGTTTCAAACCAAAGCAAAAGGTTGTGTTTAGCATTGGTTTAAAAGTTATTTGCTTTTTAGTTTACAAAGTTTCAATTTTCCATTGAAGGAATACTAATCCCTAACCAAACTAAACTTATCTAAAATTTATGGTGTGAAGGTTGCATGCTCAACATTTTTTTGCTATTTTTACTTGCAACAGAAAGTATGAATCAGCACATTTTATTCTCTGTGCATTCCCCTGTCTATTCCCCATCCAATAGGATGGTGAGATGATCGTCTTCACAGACCCCTAAAAAATGAAATATCCCTATCATCACGTTACTATCCTGTCAGCAAATCAGAGCCTTAGAATTTCTCATTTCACAGTTCAAAATTCCTATGAAAAACCTTACTAAAGCCTATTAAGCCCTGTTCCTCTTTTCTGTAAACTGGAATCCAACAATCCTTGTTTCAGTTTTCCTCCTCTGACTTGCACTCCATTTTTCAGCCAACTGTTATGCAAAACAATGGTTTTGTCCATGTATTTGTTTAAACTGAGAGGTAAACAAGATCTTAGAAAGTGAGCCACATTTCAGTTTCACACAACTGTTCCTTTGTTTTCTTAAAAGAAAATCCCATTCTCAGAGCCCAAGAGATGTCATTTGCAATACGTGATGCTAATAAAATGGAAATTTAGTTTATTCAGATCAATTTAGTTTGCACCCCATGAAAAAGCACCTTTTCAAAAATATAAATGCCAATAATTATTCTCATATAAAGGGCATAACATTTGTCTTTACTTTCTGACTTAGTAAAGACCTAGAGTTCCAGTTAAGGCAAAAACAGCTATGAAAGTAACTGACTCTTGTCTCAAAACCTGCTGTTTTGTGAATGGTTTCTTTTAAAATATATTTCTATAACAGTAACAAGTAAATGTTTCTCTGTTTGTGTGCATGTGCTTGTATTCCATGCCCCACCATTTTCTTTTTGTTTCTCTTTTTTTAAGATTGTAAGCTAGGGAAAAGATTGCTTTTTTACTGATCTATAAATTATTCTGCAAACTATTCTGGCCATATATGTACAAATAATTCTCGACCTACAACAGTTCCTTTAGTGATCGTTCAAAGTTACATCACTGAAAAAAGTGGCTTATGACCATTTTTCACACTTACGATCATTGCACCATCCCTATAGTCACGTGATCAAAGTTCACCCACTTGTCTACTGACTCATATTTATGACGATTGCAGAGTCCCGGGGTCAAGTGATCCCCTTTTGCAACCTTCTGACAAGCAACATCAATGGGGAAGCCAGATTCACTTTAACAGCTGGGTGACTAATCACTGCAGTGATTCACTTAACAACTATAGCACTAGCACTAGCACTTAGACTTATATACCGCTTCACAGTGCTTTACAGCCCTCTCTAAGCAGTTTAGAGTCAGCATCTGACCCCCAATAATCTGAGTCCTCATTTTACCCACCTCGGAAGGATGGTAGGTTGAGTCAACCTTGAGCCTGGTGGGATTTGAACTGCCAAATTGCAGGCAGCCAATAGCCAGCGGAAGTGGCCTGCAGTACTGCACTCTAACCACTGCACCACTGAGGCTCAGTGCAAGAAAGGTAATAAAATGGGGCAAAACTCACTCAACAAAATGTCTTACGTAGCAAACATAAATTTTGGGCTCAGTTGTGGTCGTAGGTTGAGGACTACCTGTAATACATACATTTAAAATAAATAACTTTGAAACCAATTTCCATTATTGGACTATAGGGAAAATCTGGATCTATTTTTTTAAACATTAAAACTGCATAATTATCTCTGATGAAAATTGTTCCCGATCTGATGCATATGTCCTGCATGTTTACTGTTAAATATTATTTTATTTATTTGTGTATTATCACATTTAAAAATCTATAAATTGCCTCACCCCAAAGATCTCCTGCTCGAGCAGGGGGTTGGACTAGAAGACCTATGAGGTCCCTTCCAACTCTATTATTCTATGTTCTAAAATCTAAAGGATTAGATATACCAAATAAAACGAAGTTACAATACAAATGCAATAGAATACAAAATAAACAAAAGCAATATCACAATATCGCAAATCTTAACTTTAGCTGTTTTACTCTCTAAAGGCTTTCCAGAACAGCTTGGCCTTAACCATTATTTGTAAATCCATAAAGAGAGGAGGTAATTGTTGCCTTGAATCATAAGTAGTTTCAAAGGAAGGGACTAGCTAAGAATATCTGACTCCATGCCCCTCTCATTTGTCTTCCTAAGATACCTCTTAATACGAGGGGACATTCAGCTGCTCTCTAGTCACTTAGGGTGGAGGGGCAGAATATTCTTGGGGCAGGCAAAGATATATTATCTATCTAGAGATTAAAAAGATAACTAAGATATCCTGGAGCTGGGTCATATAAGGCTTTCATGATATTGCCAAGTATGTTTGTTTGCTTGTCATATACTGATAACTGTAGCAGATATTCATAAGGTTATTGATAGTGATACAACCAGGGTTCTACTAGAGCATTTTCTTCTTGCAGTTGTCATGAACAGCAACAGCAATAGCACTTAGACTTATATACCAGTCCATAGTGTTTTACAGCCCTTCTGAGCTGTTTACAATGTCAGCACATTGCCCCCCAATAGTCTGGGTCCTCATTTTATCGACCTCAGAAGGATGAAAAACTGAGTCAACCTCAAGCCCGTTAGGATCAAACTCCAGACTACAGACAGAGTTACCCTGAAATACTGCATTCTGACCACTATGCCACCAGGGCTCTAATGATCATTGCCAAATATTCCAGACCCAACTCTGAGGGTGACTGACTGATCCGGGGCTGCTAATTATTCATTAGAATTTACTTACATTCAGAATACTTTGAGGTGTCCTAAAAATCTAACATGGCTATAAATTTTAAAAGAGCCTTGGGTGACAAACAATAAGGCATCTCTGAATTGCAGTTAGGGGGACATACATTGAAACATAGGCAGAGTTCCCAAACCGCATAATCATGCAATAACATCAGAATTACCCAAACAGATTGCTGTGCCCCAGTTAATATTTTTCTACTGGGTGGTGAAAGGGTAAAGCAAAGCTAGAAGGAATCGGAATACCCACAAATCAGGACATGATCCTTAAGGAGACAGGAAAGCAGTTGATAATGCATAGTTTTGTGTAGACAAGGGAGGTGTGCAGTGCTTAACTCAATACTGGAGAACAGGTTTTAATCTCCTTCATTTATCTCCTCTTTCTCCTTGTGGCTTAATTTGCCAAGTCTAACAGGTGAGTCCTCTCTTTTTGTTAATGATATAAAAACTTCAGAATATGTCTCAGAAGTGGAATAAAATTATAACCATTAAGTTGATGAAAGTATTAGTTGCAATTGTAAATGATAAATGCCAAATAAAAATGTTTTATATAGCGTCATGTATAAAAGAAGCAACTCAAGAAATAAAGGGTCATTTATTTATGAAGAATGGTTGCAGGATTTGGGTTTGGCTAATCTAAAGAAAAGGAGGACTGGGGAAAATGATAGCAGTATTCCAGTATTTGAGAGGCTGCCACAAAGAGGAGGGGTGTGTGTGTCACTTTCTTTTCCAAAGCACCAGAGGGCAGGACAAGAAACAATGAGTAGAAACTAACCAAGGAGAGAAGCAACCTGGAATTGAGGAGAAACTTTCTAACAAGTGAGGACAATTAACCAGTGGAACAGCTTGCCTTCAGACGTTGTGGGTGTTTCATCACTGGAGGTTTTTAAAGAAGAGACTGGACAGTCACTTGTCTGAAATGGTATAAGGTCTCCTGCTTGAGTAGTGGGTTAGACTAGAAGACCTCCAAGGTCCCTTTCCAGCTCTATTCTGATTCTGGTTCTTATTGTATTGTCAACATGCTCTTGTTTCTCCCTAGTACCTTTGAAAGTCAAGCGGCTCCATCATCCCAATCTTCAGCAAACCATTTCTTGCCAAGTAGAATGTTGTGGTTAAGATATTGGACTAGATATTGGACTTCAGCCATGGAAATTTAGTGCAAGGGTGACTTTTATCCATCGAAGTTGTGGGAAGAACCAAACAAGGCAATCATTTACCACACCTGGCTGTGTTTGCATACTATGAAAAACCCTAAGTCATGAATTGCAAAGGCCAGCCAAAACTTGAAAAGATGATTCCCCCCCCCACCTCTCCAGTTTAGCTACTTTCAACTGTCATTGTGAAAGGATTTTTTTTTAAACCAGTAACTAGTTGACGTTTTGACCTTTTTCTTTCAAATGAGAGGCCAAATCCATTACCCTTGGCAAATCCAATCATAAGGAGTTTAGGTTGGTATTTATTTGGTGGACCTCATGTCCGCCACCCGCAATAAGACGCATTGCCTTTTAAGAATAAAGTTACTAAACGAGACCTGTGGCTTCATAGTCTTGGTTGCGCAACAAGCGCCTTACACAATATGTTGATGAGATTCACTCTTGGTGAAAAAAACAGCGACGGACGAAGGGGGGGGGAGGAAAAAAAAAAACACCTTCCCGCCCGTTTTTTTCGGTCGACCGTCTCAAGAAAAGGCGAGGTACCCTCCGCCCCCGATTGCTTCACTGAATCACGTGACTCGGGCAGGCAGCGTTCCCGAGCGTTGTTTGAGTGAGCGGTTGCTAAGGACGCGCAGCATGAGGGGCTGAGTCAATGACGCAAGAGCGGGTTCCGGTGGGCGGGGTCAGACTCGTGAAACCTGGCGAGGGGCGCGGGGCTCAAGACGAGGCTTCGTTTTCCCGCGTGGCGGGCGAGAGGGGCGGAGTCTGAGGGATCGATTCGGTTTCGATTGTTGCGACTTTTTGCTGTGGTTGAACGTTCTAAATCTCAGCAAGTGCAGGAATCGGAGCGGCCTTGCGAGGCACCCAAGGCGCTGTCCCGTCCCACCCGGGCCTGAAATCTGCCCGGCGGTCCCCGCTTTAACTTTCGTCGGACCTGGCCATGCTGCCCAACACGGGGTAAGTAGGGATTATTGGGTTGGGGGGTCTTTCCTCTTCTTTTGAGACTTGCTTTGCCCGAGAGTTGATCCTCGGGGCTTCTTATGATCTGGGTGAAAGTGGTTTCTACGGGCCTTGGATTGTGAGGATGACAATTGGCCAACGTGATCTACTTTTTTTATGTGTGTTATTGACAACGGCTTGATTTTGCTGACATTCTCTTCACCACAACAGTATCGTTAGAACCAACAAAATGCGTGTGACACTTCACATGCCTCCCGCGCGTGTGGATCCATGAAAGCCGATGTGATTTGGTTTAAACGAAATCCAAGAGTTTGGATGCAATAGCCTAGCGTGTTACTCTTTACCTGGAAACTGTTACGAGGGTAGGGAACAAACTTTTCGACGCCCTCCACCCCATCCCACCCCATGCAAAAAGTCCAAATCGTGAAACTTATATATTGTACTGAGCTATTCAGAATCAAGGAAGATATGGAGTGCTTGAATTCTGGTTGCTGGAAAAGCTTAAGTCACCGCTGAGTTGGGTCAAGTCTGCTTTGGATCAAATCTGTTCATTCAAAAATAGTATATCTTGGAACTATTGACTGGCTAGTTATGTTGGACATTGTAGCACTGTTAGCATTGTAGAGGAACTTTTAAACTGAGCTACAGCTGCTGTCATTCTAATGCACCCAAAGGGTTTTATTTTATTCTAAAAAACCCCAATCACTTAAAGCAAACAATTAAAATTGTTTGCATATAGGAATACAGTGAATGGTATAGTAGTAAGAAAGCCCCTGAGGTGGCTGGTTTTCATGGATTAACCAGGAAGGTTTGAATTGGGATTGTTATGATATTAAGCTGAATATAGAATGGAGATCTGTAATTGTGTTTGCGCAAATAAGCTTTCTGGGCTGCACAAGGCATTTTAAAGGGTGGCGTTGTGAAATAGGTGTACGGAAGCAAAGCACTCCTTGAAATGTTAAAGCCTTTGTAATTTCTGGAAAGCTCAGAGGGGGAATAGTTCAAAGTCTTTTTTCAGTTATTTCTACATATGTGTACTTAACTGATTTGTTTTGCTGGTGATTCCAGCGAACAAGTGGCTTTCAAAGCAGCCATGTCATTCCCTTCCTCAAACATTTTGTACAACCTTAATAATCTTTCTTCAGATCTTTCTATTCAGCGTTTGAAAGAGGAGGATGGTTTTCTGACCTAGGCTTCCCCAAAAAGCACTAAGCAGACTCTTTGTCCCGGCAAAACCCCTTTTATTAAATGAAGGTGAATTTCTTGCATTCACATTCAGCCAAAGGCCTGGCAAACAGTTTTTCAAGGGTCTAATTAGGACCACAGACCTTATCTAGCTTGGAGAGCTGCCAAGTAAATATTTTCAAACACAGTGCTGACAAGGAAGGACCAGCACAGAGTCTCTGAGATGCACAGACAGATCTTCACACTGCTGCAACAAACGAATTGTTTCCTGCAAAAGCCCCCTCTCCTTTTGCTTTTCTTTTAATCTCTGTGAAAGGGGCCATTCACTGTCCACCTGTGGCTTTACTCCCACGTTGACCCTTAGTTCGCAATTGTTCTTTTCTTTTGGCAGCTCTGTGCATGCGCAGGTTGGGAACCGGCTCCGGCTGCTCCCCCGACAACTGCCAGACTGCCCTGGCGCCATCTCTGCCTCTGATGCAGAACCCTCATCCGAGCCTTCCTCAGCCTCCAGGACTGGCCCATGTTCCTCCCCAACCTCCTCACTGTCCGACTCTGCTGCCAGCTCCGATAGACGCTGGCGAGCCACAACAGATGGATTGAGCAGGGTGCACAGTTCTTGAGTCTTTCAGGGACTGAATGCCTGCATAAGTGTTCTGTTAGTATGAAAATATAGCTTTATTGTTGGTGTTTTAATCTTTGCCAAAAAACCTTTAGTAACTTTGGGGAGGACTCAAAGATAAAGTAGGCCAACCTTTATGAGCTAAGTGCTTATGAATTGTGAGGACATGTTGTGGGCATTCCACATTGTATGGAGACCCAAGGTTTCACAAATAGCCATTTTACCAGAAAGCAGACGGATGAAGTTGCTCTCCCTCATGAGCTCTAGTCTTTCAAATATGTTCTTTATTACTTCAGTTTACTGTCCTTTTGGGGAGCTGATAGTACTAAACTTTAGCCAGCTACCTAAGAGTCCCTCAGAGGCATTCTTGGGAGTAAAGATATGTAGGAGGGCATTTTGCTTAACAGCATGCTATCTTCTGTTCAATTTTTAAAAAATAATCTTTAAGGAATTAAAATCTGATGTGGAATGAAGTTTCTTGAGCAGCAAGGAAGGTGTTTGTAAATACTTTGACATAAGACACCTCTAAAACCGAAATACTGTAGGAGAACAGGTTTTTTAAAATACTAATATGGCAGACATCATGCTGGAACTTGCAAATTTTCTGGAACACTTCTGGAATATCCAATTAAAGGAAGATTGAGAGATTATCCTGTTGTGAATGAAATATGTGAAAGGTAAAAGCAATCTCTGATTTCAAGGACTGTTTCTGTTATTTTTTCTTTCTCTCTTGTAGCCTATCTAAGCTATGATCTCTTAGCTGTACATTGGAAAAGTGCCAAGTAGAGTTGGTTCTTTATTAAGAGCATAACAATTTTCCCTTGAGAAATAGCTTCCTTGAAACATGTTGCATGAGCAGCTGCCCTTGATATATTTTTCCTCCTACTCCTTGCTGTTATTGAACTCCACTCTAATTGTGAGTTTTCAGTATTTTTAAGCATTGTACAAAGTTCATTATAGATGGTTGAACACAAAACAAATTGGATCCAACCGTTTCAGCTATCACGGTAAATTATCTAACAGTTTTATTACAATGCAGAGACCTGTCTGTCAAAGGGTTGCCATTGATCTGACTGCATGATCTATAGCCATCTTGTCAATTTCATTTGCCACTTTAGATATTCCTGCCTTTGCTATTTGTGGAGCTGGCAATGATAAAATGTTGAACTGGAGATTTGGGTGGTCTCTATATTCTAACTGTTGATGTTAAATATTGATCAACGTGTAACATGATTCCTTCATCTCCATCTAATCAAGGAAGAGAAGGCTGCCTTTGCTTGCATTTCTGAAACATCTGTGGGCATGGAGGGAGAAGGTACTATAGCCCATTGGGTTTCATGTCTGGGAACCCTAGGCTGGCAATATATCCACTGTTATCCACAAGAGCCTGGTAGCTTCTGGGGTGCTGCTCAACAGCTAGCTGGTAGTGAAGACCCTATTGTGAAGTTTCGGCTGCAGGGCCTAGAAGAGACTGTTACTCATGTGCCAACCTCCTTGCTATATGGCAGCTTTTCCCTACCTGAGTTGCTAAGGTTTGTGTTCAGGTAGAGGAGTTTCCCCAACCCATGGTTGTGGGGGACTTTAATCTGCTGTTCTTTGGTGCAGACTTGGAGGCTGCTCAGGAGATGATGGCAAACATGGGCATGAGTCAGGCTATCTTTAGCCAGATTCTGGCTAAGGAAGGGGGAGATTTGGCAACAAACATATAATGAATCAACTCGCCACGGCCAACCTGCTGCAGGAAAATTCACCAATTCAATGTAATTAAAATAATTATTTTAATTTTTGTCATTCACATTTCATTTTGTCCCTCCTTTGGCATCCTTTCTTTATTGATTCCATACCACCACTTCTTTGATATTAGTATAACTCTTGTTCCATGGTGAATTGTTCTCCGTAGAACTGCTGCGAGCATCCAGAGAGTGGGAGGTGCTTCAGTCCTTTCTTCTCACAGGCTGAGTTATAATTGAAGAATGCTCCTCCTTCCTCCACGTGGCTCCTCCATGCGTTCCCCCAGTTTTCACTCAGCCTTCGAGAAAGCAGGCAGCGATCTCTTGTTCCTTGGCCGTTTTTCAGAGTTTTTTGCTTCTAAGTGTTCAGGTTTGCCTTTATTCCTTTCCTCCTTGTCCCTGCGTTGATAGTGTGCTCTTAAATTTAATTGGTGAGGCGTTTTTTTGCCTGTAGGAAGGGGTTTAAGGGCTCGGAGCTTTACTTCGCCCCCCCCACCCCTCCTCCCTTTCTCTGCATTTCCGAGCGTGCCTTTATCCAGCCGCTTGTCTCCGTGCCTTGATTTATTGCACTATTATCATTCCCCCCCTAGAACGCTTTAGAGGAAGCAACGCTTCCTCTCCCAGCCCTGGCTTTTCGTTGTTCCTGATTGCCTGGTAAGCGAATAGGGCTGGTGCGCCTCTGATTGCCTCGCGTCGTGCCGGGCGGCCATTTTGGAACCGCCTCGTGGCCGGCGCCATTTTGTTTTATTTTAAATAATATTTTTTCCTGGCTGTGTGTAATTTTTGTTTTTGGATTTAAGCTGTGTGGATTGAGGCCCTAAGCGGGACCGTCAGGCCGCGTGGAGCCCCTTTTTTTATTGGAGGACACTGTGGTTCCGGCCCTGCTGTCTTTCCTTTAGAGGTTTTTTCTTGTTGGCTTTTTCTGTCTGTATCAATCAGCTTGTTCAGAGGCGCGGGCACGTACTTCCCATTGTGTTGGGAGGCTGCCTAAAGAGGCCTACTTATTATACTTATTTTGCTTCCCTTATTTTTTGGCCTCTGCGTTCATTCGGCTCATTTGGATTTGTATTTAATAATTTTTATTATTATTTTCTCCTTGTGCCTATTTGGCCCTGTCCTTGGGCCCCGCCCTTAAAAAAAAAAAAAAAAAAGGAGAAAAGAAATTATTATTATTAGTTATTTTATAATATATTCCAGCAAGCTTTTGTGTAGATATTTTTGGATAGTTTTCTCCTTGTGTTTTTTAGTACTTGGTGTTTTAAAAAACAAATTCAAATAAATAAATAAATAAATAAATAAATAAAATAAAAAAATAAAAAATAAAAAATAATAAAAAAAAATTTTATTCAAAGGGGGACGTGATCTGATTTGGGAAAACCGGTTTGCGTTTGTAAGCCGAACTCCTAGGCGTGCCAACCGCCATATTTGTTGTAAGGTTTTTTTCCTTGATACCATGGCAGAGA